CCCCCATTAAGAGAATTAAAAAAATTCGTTTATGAAGATCTGTAAGTTTTTTACTTTTCCAAAATTTTGCATCGAAAATGTTCATATAGACCATTTCAGTAAAATTTGTCCGTCAAGACCGTCAAGACAGACATCCTGTGACTTATACCATTACTTCCAGAGAATAAAATTGCTTTATTAATGTGATGTGTAGAATCAATTGCAGATGTACTCTTTTCTGCCGCTCCCTTCATGAATGGCGCCATTTCCGTAAGCTGTTTTCGAACAACAACTATGTTATAGCCTAAGAATGCACTAACCACGCCGCCCATTCCAAGAACGTCACTATGAATTCTAAATAATTCCATTATAATTTGTTTTTGTTCTAATAAGGAATATCATTCTTTTGAATCACCCTGTAACATATGATCCCTGTATTAATATTTTCAGTTTACCGTTGATTTCAACAGCCCATTCTCTAGTTACTGCTAATCATAACAGTGTTCAGATACAGCGCAACAAACAGTTTTGACATAATGAACTGTCCATGTCATGTTTCAAGGTTGGAATTAAATAGTATGGAAGCATTTTACTTTCAGTACATGGTAACAATAAAATGGCAAACCACTTTCAGCAGCAAAAACTATCTAGCAGCGTATAAACACACAGTCACGTAATTTCAGGAATTTGTTCGAGGCGTAGGATTTTGTATTGGCATCTGCTTTTGGGAATACGTCGCTTAGACTGTTGGAGGGTTTCCCGCAAGCGGATGTATCTCACATTAAACTTCAGCCGCCAAAACATGATAACATAAAATTTCACTTACTTCGAATTCCATTCCGTGTGCTGGTATCAATTTAAACTAACAATTCACAGAGATATGAAACTGGTCTGCCCTGTAAACTACTACTACTACTCCAAACTGCACTGTCGTTATTGTAAACAGAACAATATTACCTTCAGGGATGGAATAAATACTTTGCCGGGCAGCTCCCACCACCTCGTGACAGGTTCACAGTCATGGACGGTCATGGACAGCGTAATGTTATCCTAGTTCGATATATCGCCACAACGTTACGCGCCAAGCAACAGTCCTGCTAGCGCCTCCATAGGCGGTAGCTGGAAGTCGTGTATTTGGTACACAGTATTGCTGATAGAGGGGGCAGTGAACAATCAACAGATGCAGCTACGAATATGAATTTAACACTTTAATAAATGCACCAAAATTCATGTAATCCATATATATGGGATTTTAAATAGATATTAACTAAAACATATTTATTCTTAAATGATTCTCCAGGCAAAGATCTTATCCCCAAGGTCGTTTGTTGCCCTTGTAATTCTGGTGGCTCTTGTGTCTAATGACTAAAATAAGTCAAGATTCGCTGGTCATCTTACTCTTTTATAAGGTTTCATTCCTTTTATTCTTGTCTTGTAACCACGTAGCTTTGGTCCCTCATCTATTGCAGTATCAACTTCTTTGAATTACAGTGTTGACCCACTTACTTTTGGGACTAGCTTGAGATAAGAACCAAGTTAAATATTTAACTGTATATCCCCTAGATGTCTGTCAACACGCCACTTTGCGAATCCACGACAGTGTGTCTGCATACCTAAAGAAGGTATCCTTAAGCCCATACATACAACACCAGATTTATTTATGGCCTGAATGAAACACAATTCAGTGTCTCACATTATGTTCCCTTTCCCAGCTCTCAATATTTGTGCAGACCCTTTTTCTAATAAAATCAATAGACATATTCATATATGAAAATAATTTTTGTATTGCAAGAACCTGGTGTTATGTTTACACAGAACTAGGTAATGTGAAGAAACATCAATAAACTCAGCTCAAATCATTCTTCTAATGTATTAATTAAATTCCAATTACAAAACTTTTATTTGCTTTAAAAGTGACACACAAAGAAAACAATATTATTTGTAACTCTTCCACTTGCATCAAAATCCACTCTAGCAAATTCTGATTAATTTTATAACACTTGCTGCAGTATGACAATCTTAAAAGGAAACTTGAAAACAATAATAATTGGTAAGATCAGAGAGAGGATTATCACTTTATGAACACTGGTCACATTTTTGTAACATGGTATTCCAGCAGAGGTTTATTTATATTACATTTTATTTATACATTTATATATATTATTTATATATTATTATAGATATATTTCTCTCACTGGGGTATCACAAACTTATTAAAAATTAAATGAATATTGGTTTTGTGGACCAAACAAAAATGAAAATTTTGTAAATTTTTTGGAACTTCTGGAATTTGTTACTTAATGAAGGAAGAGAAATCTATTTAAAAATGCAGAATAATACTACTTAGGTCATACATACCTACCATCAAAAATATTTTATTAACATTACCATAATTCCCTAGGAGACATTTTCTTTCAAAGATTTTCTGTAGCCCCAGACCTCTTTCATGTAGCCTCATTTACTAATGGGCTACCAGTTGCTAAAATATTATCCTTTCACATCACTGTTATACTTCCTGACTACCTTAGTTTAATAGTAAAATGCTGCAGTCATCACACAAGAACTGATCAGAAAATATTTCTTCCTTGACATTAAGATAGGATAAACCATGTAAATATAAAATCAATGATATCAGGTTGTTTTTTGAATGATTCATAATTTCTTTATAAGTTATATTTTTTAAATTCTTAATGTATAGTATGAAGTGATACACATTGAATAGTCACATCATATAAGAAATGCTGTGCTGGCCTCACAACACAGTGATACAGAAGTCATCTGTGCCACTTGGTTTTATGACCGATTATATTCTGCAATATTTAGATATATTAAAAAACCTATTTATGTTTGCTAAATTTATTTAAAAGATGTATCTAAACCTGAACTCAGTTACACTTCATTTTCTTTAATTTCCCAAATTTAACAGCACACAGATCTTGCATAGAATGTAGTGTTGCAGTGGTCACTGTTCCTGTTTGTACATGGGAAATCCAGGATTTCATACTTGACCCAGCAGTATTTATGATTTTCTTCAGTATCTCTGAGCAAAGGCTCAAATTTTGTCCTGAAATACAGCATGAACACTTCCCTCCACATCCTTCCAATTCAAGCCTTTGACTGCGTTGATCATGATATTTTGTTGACCAAACTTAAATTTTATGGTATTACTGGGAAAGATCAAGCACTTTATGAATCTTATTTAAGTAACAGATATATCAGAACAGTAATACATAAGAATGATGTAAATACAGTATCCTCAGAATGGCTCAATATTAGGCAGGGAGTGCCACAAGGGTCGGTATTGGGACCTTTGTTGTTTCTCATATATATAAATGATNGGTTCCTTTTATATTCTTTACAATGAGTGGCCATAATGTGATGCTCTCTAACCTGGAGCCATTGGGTAAATCACGACTCATTAAACAATCACATATCTTCCTGTGAAAGTTATAAACAACTTTAAGAACTTAAAGTATTCTGGGTAATATATGACACACAACCATGTGGATTTGAATTATTTATTCTTCAGTCATTTATCAACATATTTCAGTTTCTTAGTTCACTTATTGTTGAAAAATATGATTATTAGAATTAAAATCTGTAAGGGAGCAGTCATGGCATATTTTAAGTCATTGTACCAGGATTTGAGCAATTGAGTAAACCAGCAGAAAACCTCGGTCAGCATAGTTGATCTCTGGGTTGACAACCCAGGATCTTCAGAATAAGAAGGAATGCAGTGTTCTATTATGTTGATTCAGAAGGATCAAAATATTGATGAACTGATATGAATGAATCTATGAGGGGTAGGCCTTCTCAGCCCTTGCACCGCAACCTACAGTGGTCTATTGTGCTTCCCCTTTTGATTATCCCCTCAGCAATCCGCGCTTCAAATGAAGCGCATGATTTTGTACGTGGGGGCGTTGAAATAGTCACTTGGTTCTATAAAGTATTGACCCAAGTGATGTAGTCTTAAATAAGCTAAGGCCTCACATTCACACAGGATAAGTGTGGCTGTTTCATTTTCTTCTTGGCACCTCTCACAAGTGGGACTATCACTTACTCACAGTTTGAAGAGGTGTCCTTTAAGGTGACAGTGTCCTGTAAGTAGTCCTACCATCCATTGTAGCTAGTTCCTGTTTAGCTTCAACAGTTCCTTCGCTCCTTCAGCTGAGGGTCCTTGTATGAGTCTCTTTGCTTGCCTGAGTCCAGTTAAGGATCCCCAGTATTTCTTGTGCTTCATATTTGTCCAGTCCCTGATTGCCTTTCTGGCAACTCCTATAGAGATGCCACAGGC